CACACACACACACACACACACACACACACACACACACTTGCGCACTCGCCCCCTGTAGGCCATGCTTCTGCTGCTTCTGTGTCAGCTCCGGCAAAATGATTGGTTGTGGGTAGAGAGGCAGATGGGGTGATGGGGAAATCAGTAGAACGAATGAAAATGGCCATGGGTGGCTTGAGGGAAGACCTTCATCTTTCACAGAACACTAGAGAGCCATTGCATCTCCTTATAAATGCTCCAGCCCCTTATAAATCCTCTCTCTGGTTTTCAAACACACACACTTTAAGCTTCCATATATCCTCAAATGCACATAGATGTGCATATATAAAGCGATGGAAGGTTTGTAATATTTGAGATGTTAAAATACTTTCTCAGTTTGTTACATTGATTGTTAAGTGTGCAGAGGGAACTATAAGAAAGCCATTAGTGGGCTCATTTCCCTGAAGAGTTTTAAACATTGTGCTGCTTGTGCCGTTCCAACGTATCACTCTTGGGTCGAACCATAGTGTAATTTTGTGGCATGATTTGGGCTGCTAATGTCAAGGGTATGTGCTTGAATTCACACAGGATTGGACCATATTGTGGTTAAACCATATATTGGTGAAAAAATTAAGTTCTCTATTTGATAGATTTCCAAACTATTTTGAATTGAACCATCATTGACGATCTATTACATCAGTGGTCCCCTTGTACTCAACATATGGCCACATCAGCTTCATGATTTAAAGCACAGCCAGTAACACAACTCTCAGTCACTAATGAGTTTTATTCATTCTTAGTTTCCTACCTATAGTGCTCAGCATGCCGCTACTTCCTGAACACATAAACTCACCAACACATTCACACAATAAGATAAAGAATTATCTCATTAGCCATTTCAGACTAGTTTGGACAATTTATGGAAAACAAATTAACCGATTTAATCATGGTTAGCAGATTTTCCCAGCTAAAGACCTGGGCTTAGAGCAGTATGAATGGCTGTCTTATGCTGGTTGGTCATTTGTGGCTGAGAAACCAATATGATTTTCATCAGTGAAATTTCACCAGCAGTGAACACTCTGGCTTTGTGACATTATCAAAACAAGTAAGAAAGCCATTAGTGGGCTCATTTCCCTGAAGAGTTTTAAACATTGTGCTGCTTGTGCCGTTCCAACGTATCACTCTTGGGTCGAACCATAGTGTAATTTTGTGGCATGATTTGGGCTGCTAATGTCAAGGGTATGTGCTTGAATTCACACAGGATTGGACCATATTGTGGTTAAACCATATATTGGTGAAAAAATTAAGTTCTCTATTTGATAGATTTCCAAACTATTTTGAATTGAACCATCATTGACGATCTATTACATCAGTTGTCCCCTTGTACTCAACATATGGCCACATCAGCTTCATGATTTAAAGCACAGCCAGTAACACAACTCTCAGTCACTAATGAGTTTTATTCATTCTTTGTTTCCTACCTATAGTGCTCAGCATGCCGCTACTTCCTGAACACATAAACTCACCAACACATTCACACAATAAGATAAAGAATTATCTCATTAGCCATTTCAGACTAGTTTGGACAATTTATGGAAAACAAATTAACCGATTTCATCATGGTTAGCAGATTTTCTTAGAGCAGTATGAATGGCTGTCTTATGCTGGTTGGTCATTTGTGGCTGAGAAACCAATATGATTTTCATCAGTGAAATTTCACCAGCAGTGCACACTCTGGCTTTGTGACATTATCAAAACAAAAATTTTGTTTGAGCATCCCGACCAGCCTGACGACAGCAACACTGGCTCAACCAATGGTGTGAATTTGGGGGCGGGGCGATCTATTTGACTGACCAGTAGTAGGTAATGTTTATGAAACCTGTTTGGAAAATGAGCTACACCCACAGGCTCATACACCCTTTTGCACTCGCCCCCTGCAGGCCTTGCTTCTGCTGCTGCTGTGTCAGCTCCGGCAAAATGATTGGTTGTGGGTAGAGAGGCAGATGGGGTGATGGGGAAATCAGTAGAACGAATGAAAATGGCCATGGGTGGCTTGAGGGAAGACCTTCATCTTTCACAGAACACTAGAGAGCCATTGCATCTCCTTATAAATGCTCCAGCCCCTTATAAATCCTCTCTCTGGTTTTCAAACACACACACTTTAAGCTTCCATATATCCTCAAATGCACATAGATGTGCATATATAAAGCGATGGAAGGTTTGTAATATTTGAGATGTTAAAATACTTTCTCAGTTTGTTACATTGATTGTTAAGTGTGCAGAGGGAACTATAAGAAAGCCATTAGTGGGCTCATTTCCCTGAAGAGTTTTAAACATTGTGCTG